CTTGAATTCATTTGCAGCCCCTCACAAGTCCACTGTTGAACTTAAGCCTCCCCCAACGAATGCTACAGTGCATGGTCCTGATAAAGTCTAATAAAGTGCATGACATTAAATAAATAACTACTTATTTGTAAAATTTTACTGTTTAATAAGAAGTCAAATGGAGATGTTTTTATACAAACATGTTAAAATGAAGGAGAAAAAATAAAGAATTAACATTTTAATAAATTTTATATTTTTTATTTTAAAATAGTATAAAAATTGTGTTCCCATTTTAGTATAACAATACATGTATAAAATATTATTAGTACCTTTACCAGGTTTAACAACCCTGTATAAAAATTTACTATACAAATTTTATAAAATTAAAAATTAGACAATAATAATTAAGATTCTAAGGTTTTGCAAGAAATTTTAACAGTTCAACCATCCATCATTTACGATTTAAAAAAATATCGTGTAAATTGATTAAGCTTTACAATACTATATCCTGCTTTCCATCCTCCGTCTGAGAATCTGGTATAAATGTAATAGTTATACTGTCATCTATACAATATATGTAACTGTACAATATACCATATAATATACAGAATATTAAAAACAAGAGGAGTTGATAATGCTCATAATTTATACTAGAACCATTGTTACTATACACATTAGCATGGAAAGAAATGTGTACCAACAGTCGAGTTGACTATGAACCATAAGCTATAAAAAACTAAAAGAAAAGATAATTTATATATTAGACTGAATTATATTTTAGTAATTTAAAAAAAATATTAAAATTGTTTATATTACATAATAATTTATATATTATAATTATTATAAAATTATAAATAGAAATGAAATATCAACTTAAGCTACATAACATGAGATATCACAGTAATAGTGATAAATTTAAAAACGCACCATATTATCTACAAATAGAACATTACGTCTTATATCCAAAGAGATTCAAGATTAACGAACAAAAATACTGTTACTCGATGCTAGACACAATAATAACTTCACGCTATTATAGGCACAATACAGATCGGTTTAAGTTTCCTTTAGAGTATGTTTCTTGTTACTCGAACGATATAATAATACAAGAACAACCTATCTATGTTAAATTGTTAAAGTATGGAAATAAAATTAGTTACCAGTCTCAGCAGCAGCATACATACACATTTAATGTTTTACTTACATTTTGCTACATTCTATATCGCTCTTCGTGTTCTTATCGCACCAGTTCTGGAAAGTCTATTTTTGCCCTTTTCTTTAAGCTTACGTAATCACGACTTCATATTTGTTAGCCAAGGGCTGGAGTGGCTAATTGAACATTTTCCGATGCTTCAATTTTGGCGTGTTAGTAACATATCTACCTTTTTTATATATTATATAAATATCATTGGCATAATAGTATAATAGGGCTTTAGCCACAAAAAAAACATCTTTCAAATTTGAATGACAGACAATTAGACAGTACTGCTCCTAATAATGGCAGCGTGTTTCGCCTACTTTGAACTTCCTCTTGTTTTTAATATTCCATGATATAAGAGATGTACAGATGTTGTTCACGTAAATTCAGGGTTTGTTCGGTCATCATACAGCAAATTAATCTAATGATTTTCTAATATCAGCCTTTCCATCTTAATGTGGATATCTTCAACGCAAAAACGAATAGACTTGTCAATCTAATCATTTCAGGTGGCATTACAAACAAGCAGTTATATGGTCAGTAAATAACTGCATCTACCTACCAGATATTTCACCAAAGAGCACATCATTTCTATCGAATTAAAAAGAACCATCATCAATCATCACAGCCTACCAAAATTCACTCCTGTACATAGGCCTCCCCACATATTGTCTCATGAACGTAATATTTGCCTCAGTTGCCATCTTTGGTAATGCGAGTTGGCCCGCAGTTTTTTATTTTATAGTTATTCTATAGATACTTGTTACAAATTATAAAATAAAAACACTTGTTTACATTCTTTTACAGTTGCTGTTGCATACATTAAGCAAGTTAGTAAATGCTAACATAGTTTACATTCTCACCCTTTAGGTGATCGCAGTAAGTGGTTTATCATGGGACGAATGTAAAACAAAAACCAGTTTCACTGTAGACTGTACCATTGCATGTTGAATGGAAAAAATCTTTGCTAAACTAGAAATAGCCGCATTGCACCAAAGATTACACAAAAAGCTTTTCTTTTTTTTTGGAAAAATATAAGATTCAATCAAATTTATAGGTACACTTTCACTTGCTTAAAACTAAAATAGCTAATATGTTATTTCTAAAAATAATATTTGTGTCCCTTTTTTTAACACTTTAAAATAAGTATGAATAAAATCAGTTTACAATAAAATATAATTAAATAAAATTTAAATATTAGTAGTAACATAACCCTTTATGTTAATTTTTACAACAGAAATATCATGTGAAGTTAGGAGTGATTTATCTCAGCAGTGGAATGGCGGACTCAAACCCACAACCTTTTGAGTTTACCGTCCGTACCTTACCATTAGGCTACTGTCGCTTTGAATAGAGCCATGTAAGGCCAAATAGGATAAAATTCTAACTTATCACTTCACAAACAATATTTAATTTTATTTTCTTTATTAATTTTTATTTTATTTTCTTCAGGACAACAATCAATTGTGTAATAACACATAATACAGATCTTATAAAAAGGAAAACCAAGTAATTACACAACCAGCACCATTATCCACAAAGTAATATCACAATAAGAGTAATATTTTGTTGCAGTGTATGTTCATTTAAAGCCATATAAATGAATAAGGAATGTTATTTATAACTTTAAATTAAAAAATATAATAAAATAAGTTTAAAAATAAAATAAAAACTAAGTATAGGTAAAATATTATATTATCCATTCAAACTACTGAGAAGAAGGATCATAAACATTTTCATGGGAAAGCCAAAAGCCATGCTGCAACAAGAATGGACCGGCTCGACAAGGGAAATACCAAACTGCCCAAAGACTCCATTTTATTTTAGTTCTCATGGCTGACAAGTAGTAAGGCCTTTGCATTTATAGATGCTACATGGAAAGATATTTGTCTATGGGCTATGGTATGAACGTTGCATCAGGCTGACTGTGTGTTTCTGTGTCATCCTTATATAGAAAATCTAAGTTTACATTAATTTCAAAAGTTAATAAAGTAAACATGTACTATTCAATTAAATTGTACTTTGGTGTGGGGGTCACCTGTTGAAAGGGTATGTCCAATAAAGAATTAAGGAAGTCTTAGAAAGTTACAAGTAATAAAAATACAAGAAATAGGGTAAAACACCCTACTGTTGGCACTTCACAAACTTATTGGCCTACAGGCCTACAGTTTTTAATCAAAATAAAATTTCGGTGTAGACTATAAAAATTTTAGACGGAATTAGTAACTTAATATTAAGTTTTATGAGTGTATTCTCTTATATTTTAATTCGCAATTTACTGTTATGATTGACATTTTTATCTTCTTTTCGACATGCCTATATTCTTTATATATACTCTTTTCGTTGCAAAATAAAGGTAGCTGTAAAAAGTCGCGTAAAAAGACTGAGAGAATATGCTGAAGACTCTCCAAGAAGTAACCAGTTATGAGAAAAAAATTGCTGCCATAACATTTAACGTGCCAAGATCTACTTTACAAATTAAAATCAAAATTCTTGAACATTTTTTTATAGGATAGGGTAACAAACGAGCACACAGTCCACCTTATGGTACATGGTTGCTGTAGCCCATAGACATCTACATCTATCCTCAATAAAGACTCAAGATGCAGATGCGTTGTCACCCGTGCGGACTAAGATGGAATGCCTCTTTGCCAGTAAAAAGGGTCTCCGGTTCTCTACACTCACCATACGAAACACAGCAGCGTTAAGCTGCTATTTTATGCTGGTTTTCTGTGAGAGCGTGATCCTTCCCCGGTCGAGCCGACCCATTCGTGCTACATCATCATTCATCATCGTTACAGCCTTTCATAAGTCCACTGCTGAACATAGGCCTCCCCCAAGGAATGCCACAAAGCACGGTCCTGAGTCACCTGCACCCATCGACTTCCTGCACGTCGTCATTCCATCTTGTGGGGGGTGGCTCTACACTTCGCCTACCGGTATGAGGCTGCCACTCAAGAACCGAATCGAAATCGAAATACATAACAATTTCGATGAATCAACTAAAGATATACAGAAAGTGAATGAAAAATTAATACAATTCACCACTAGCAAATTTAACAATGACAAATTGTACTAAAATTGAATGATATTTTGATTTGGCCCAAAATCCCTCAAAGAAAAGTGGTAAAGATTACTAAACCTTAAGCCTTATTTGTTCCGACGTCGGCATGGAAAGCTTAAGAAAATGAAAAAATCAGGGTTATACAAGAGTAAGCAGTAGGAGTGAAGATAAGAGAATGAGAGTGTAAAAATAAATGGAAAAGAAAAAATTAAATATTCTTATTGCGTTTCGGGATGATATTTTTAGGGTTTTATTTTCTAAGGAGTTTTACAGTATACAGTAGCTATTTTTGAAAAGGAAAATAAGTAGGAGATAAAGGCACTAGTAAAATTGAGGTACACCAAAACATAAAAAATTATACACCTGTTAAGATAGAAAAAAATGTTAATTGGATTAGATCATCAATTTATATTTTAAGGAGAGACAAGATAGGCTTCTTTAATGATTACAAAGTTACTAGGTGCCAATAAATTGGTATTTTCACTGCCAATAAAAGCTTTACTCATAAAAAACGAAAAAATAAAAAAAATATAGAAAATGATGAAAGTATAAAGAATAAGAATATAAAATGTTTTGTTGTTCATCATGCAAAATCATGAGAATTTATTCTGTTTATATAGTTTTATGAAGGGACTGTGTGAAGCGCCAGCAGTTGGGTACCGTACTCTACTTATTGTATTACTTGTCAGAAGCTCTCAAGGAGCTTCTGCTCGGTACTTGGAACGAAGTAGAGCGGCGGCGGGTGCGGCGGGTGCGGCGCTAGAAGTGCATGAGGTCCGAAGGCGCGTAGGTCTCGGCGGGCTTGTGCGGCGACGTGTTGTGTGGGCGCACGGAGTGTGCGGGGCGTGCGGGGGAGGTGGGCGAGGGGGGCGCCGCCTCCGCGAAGTCGTGCGAGCCGCCCGACTTGCGCACGACGCGCAGGTCGGTGATGGTCATGTGGCGGTCGACCGACTTGCACATGTCGTAGAGCGCCAGCGCGGCCACCGCGGCGCCGGTGAGCGCCTCCATCTCGACGCCGGTGCGAGCGGCGGCGCGCACCTCGCAGCGCACGCGCAGCGCGCCGCCGTGCGCGCACTCGCCGCGCGGCAGCAGCACGCGCACGCGCGCCGCGGCCAGCGGCAGCGCGTGGCACAGCGGGATCAGCTCGGCCGTGCGCTTGGCGGCCAGCGCGCCCGCCACCTGTGCCACGGTGAGCGCGTCGCCCTTGGGCAGGCTGGCGTCGCGCAGCAGCCGCAGCAGGCGCGCCGACACCAGCAGCGCGCACTCGGCCTCGGCCGCGCGCGCCGTCACCGCCTTCCCGCTCACGTCCACCATGCGCGCGCGCCCCTCCGCGTCCAGGTGCGTCAGCACGCCGCCCTCCTCCTGCTCGCGCTCCTCCCTCTCCTCTCCCCCGCGCTCACCCCCCGCCCCCGCCGCGGTGCAGTACCCGCGCGCGACCAGACGGCCGACGGTCGCTCGGCGCCGCTCGCCCGCCGCCCGGCGCGCTGTAACGTTCCCACATCTAAGCGGCGCGGCGCCGACCCCCACCACGCCGCCGACCCACTAGCCTCCTATCAGTATCATTGGACGGTTCTCCATACGGGCGAGATTCTGCATGCCTACGAAATATTATCAAAAGATAGAAGCTTCGTTGAGAAGCATCGGATGAAGAGATACCTTTACCGATAGACTATTGGAATTTTAACTGTTTTTGAGTCAAAGTATAAACCATTTGAGTTTCTAAATCAAACGGATAATCTTTTATAAGATAAGTTAACAAAATATTATAATAAAGAAAACCACACCTTAAATAATTAGTCTTATTTTTGAAACAGATTTCAAATAGCTTAAATTAATGATAAACGCTCTATAATTTTACATTAAAAACAAATTACCACAGAGATCTTTTCTAGGCCCAATTATATTTATTCAAAAAAACTATTTCCGATTATAAGTCATGATTCTTTTTTTTTTTCTTCAATTAAAACTTAGCCAATATTTTATATACTATCGAAAAACTGAGACAACAATCACTTAGTAAATAAAGCTGAGAAAAATAATACTTTTTATTTTTTTTAAATATATTACCCCTCACTAGAAATTACTATTTCCGAAGCATTTTCAATAAAAATAATAAAGTTTTTAAAATAATTCCACGGATACAATTTAGTGTACTATATGAATAAAACTTATTCTAACGCGAAAACGTCCATTCGCTCATTAAGTATGGTGATAACAGCTTGAAGTTTATTGTATTACAAAATACCGTCAGATTTCATCGCTAATAACTACGACCACTAATAATGCGTTAACAACAGTTCGTGCAGAACAAATACTTTTGTTCTGCTTGTGACTGAATTAACTTTGTGTTAAATTCTAAATGAATCCAGCGTGCAAACTATGATTACACTAGATGGAGTGACGACCTCATGAAACACACAGGCGATATAAACAGATTGTTCGGGACCGTACTTTGTGGCAATCAATGAAGGAGGCCCATGTTCAACAGTAAACGTGTCTTGTGACTAGGGTTACCAGATGAAAAAATTAAAAGTCCGGAGAAGAGGCCTGATTTCCATTTAAAAACCCTGAGATTGTTTTACAGTTTGAGAAGAAAACCTTACTTAAAAAGGTATCTTCACATATTAAGTATGATAAAACTGTTTAAGTACCTACTTGGATAAATAAGTTTTGATTTTAATTGTGGAATTATTACCAAAGGAAAATTATTTTTAGTTTGTTTAACTTTTTATTAAGAGATCTTTTAAAATGTAAGCTGTATTATATTGAAAATTCTAAAAATCCTGAAATTTCATGAGATTTGCAAAATTCAGCCGCAATCCTGAGAAGTCTAAAAATCCTGAAATCTCAGGACTAATCCTGAGATATGGTAACCCTACTTGTGACGAGCTGTGCCTGTGTGTTTGTGTAGTGATCTCCTCTTGCCAGTTGTTGCGCACAGTACAACGAGATGAATATTGATACCTTAGACATTTTCCACGACGCGTTGTTTAAATTTAAACGAAAACTGGCCGGCCTTTTGTGAACACGCATTTGTTTTCAGTTAAGTTTTGCTTTGGTGAATTTTATTATTTCATTGTTTTAAAATTTTCAGATATATATTGTGTTGTTATTTAATATCTCCTATCAATGTTGTGTACGCCTATAATAGGTATATGTATAAGTAATTGTGCTTTAAAAATGTAACCATTATAATATGTATACATGTACTGTTGGTGTACCTTTTTAAATAAATAAATAAATAAATAGTGAGTAGGCTTTTTTATAGAAACATGCAGCTAATGAAAATACTTAAGGCGCAGGTTGAGCAAAATGTCGCGCCAGTCGTTATTTGGGCAGTTTTTAGAAGCTATCTACTTTTTATTTAAAAGATATATCAACAAATAAAAAACACATTATATTTCTACATAATCTTGATTCCATAAAAGCGGGCCAAAAAGTCAGTTATGAGTTTTTCATTTATGTTCTAAGTTATAATTAGTATTACTAAGTTATAGTTTTTTGCTAAAATATAGTATATTATTTATTGCTTGTTTTTTCTTCTTTTTCAAAAAATAATTGAGTACATAAGGTGTTCTATACTTATAATTCGGTAAAAAGTACTAATATACCTACTTTTTACTATAAACTAAAAATTTTTAAAACTAAATTTAACTAAAAAGACTAAACTGACCATTTATTTTTTAACTCATAACAGGACATGGGTTTATTTATACTCTAAAAACTATAACTTTATACAATTAGTGTTCACTGTAATTATTAAATGCAACATATTTTTTTTAATTATTAATTACATTTGTCAGTGGATTAAATTTGCTGTAATAAAGTTGGTGATGATTTTAAATAAGAATAAAATTCTGCTCAAGTTTTTTATTGTTATCTTTGTTAACAACATCGCCTTTAGAACTCTGGAACCGTAAGTGTTTCTTTCAGACGTCCACAATTTATGCAAAATAAAAAAATACTCTTTCTACCGGAGCATTCGTACCAGGTAGACATAAAATATATTCGATTAAAAAAAACTATGTTGAAGATTGTTGACTTTGAATACTTCCATCCAACGAGTTACGGGACAATTTTGTGTCCCGGAGCTTTGTTTGGGGACAATGGGACAGGAGACCGAGAAAAGGGACAGTCCCGTTCAAAACGGGACGTATGGTCACTTTAGCTATAACCCGGCGACCATGAAGCAAATACAAAGTTAGTTTTTGTATTAGCTTCATGGTGGCGCAGTGGCTTAGCAATCAGTTGTTGCGCTGGGGGCCGCGGGTTCGAATACCGCACGGAACAAGTATTTGTATGGCCTACAAATAATTGTTCCGGGTCTGGATGTTTGTCTTTGTGCAATATTTATGTTTGTAAACTGCCTCCACGACACAGGAGAAAATCCTAGTGTGGGGGTAACGTTTTTTTACAACTGAAATTGAAAGATTGAACCCTTATACTTCTTGTTGATTTTTGTATTACCTTTATTAAAGTTACCCTTATGTATAAATAAATATAATTACGTATGTAGAAATAAAATTGATTTTCATCCTCATCAATCATTGGGGTGAGGATAATATCTGCTAGCATAAGTAATAAGCAGGCTAAGTTACAAGGTGCTCAGTTCAAAAATTAGTAGGTAACTTTTCAATACGTGACACGTAAAAATTAACAATAATCAAAAACACATATGCGAAACATCCTATTTATTTATTTATTTTTTATTGCACCAAATATTTGTACAAAAGCCGAGCTATCTATTTATTTACCTATAGTGAATAGGTATCTTTTAAACTCACAATTTTCAATGCTTCAGTTTTAATATATAATTAATTATAAAATTTCATAATTAGATAATATATGAAAATACATAATTCTAATATAATGCAACTAATATATACAGAATAAAAAAATTAAAATACATTTATCTTTGTACGCTATGTGTATTTCCATAAAATAGTTTATTGATGTTGAAAAAATAATACTACTTGCGTACAATAGGTGGCGTCTTACATATTTCTTCCGGCGAGCCGCTCGCTACAGCTACGCTTAGGTCAAATGCTCAAGGTCGTTCGCATGGAGTAGCCCCTTAATTTATTTTGCAAAATTTTGTATTATGTAATTTTATAACATATTATAAAACAAGTGAACCATATAATTTTATACGATATTATCATGTATTTAATCTCGAAGAATAGTGATACTAAAAATTATTGTACAGAAATTGTAAAATCGTTTACGAATTTTACATTGACCAAGTTAAATAAAATCGCATGGCAAAGATGTCTTAAGCCTCGCTAATACCAAAATTTATGTTATATCAAAAATATTAAAGCTAGTTTCTATAAAGTATAGGAATATATAAAGTATAATAATAAAGTAAAGATCTAGGAGTTATACTAGACGCAAAACTTTATTTTAACGATCACATTAACTATATTATCAACAAAGCATTTTGTATATTTGGTTTTATTATTCGCTCTTGTAGTGAATTCGTTCGACCCAATTCATATATCTACTTGTTTAATTCTCTGATCAGACCGATATTGGAGTACGCCTCTATCATTTGGAACCCATTCTATGAGAAATACAATCTTCAGTTAGAGCGTATCCAACGTAAATTCTTAAAAACCGTTAACTATAGATGCTATCACAGTTCGTATTCAAGTTACATTAATTTTTTAGACAAATTGTCGCCCCTACCTCTTTACAAAAGAAGGATACTTATAAATAATTTATATTTGTATAAACTATGTCATAATGATATCGATTGTATTCAACTCACTAATCAAATATTCTATCGCGTTCCAAGTGGTTCACAACGTATTCGTAAGAAATACTCACATAAACTATTTATGACAAAAATCTGTCGTACTAACGCTGGTCTTCGTTCCCCATTAAGACGCATAGTGCAATCATATAATGATTACTTTAGCGATATTGATATTTTTACTGCCTCAAATATGTGCTTTAAAAAATATATTAAGAATAAATTACAGGTATTACAAATTTAAAATTTTTTTTTTTTTTTTTTTATAGGATAAGGGTGACAAACGAGCACACAGTCCACCTGATGGTAAGTGGTTGCTGCGGCCCATAGACATCTACATCTATCCTCGTTTGCGAATCAAAATGCAGATGCGTTGTCACCCGTGAGGACTAAGATGGAATGCCTCATTTGCAGTAAAAAGGGCCTCCGGCCACCTGCACTCACCAAGCGAAACGCAGAGGTAAACCTCTACTTCGCGCTGGTATTCTGTGAGGTCGTGGTACCACCCCGGTTTGAGCCGGCCCATCCGTGCGACAGCAAAAGCTGCCGCGTGGCTCTACCACTGTTAAATTATTTGTGCACACGTCTCTTATACTGTTTAATACTTATATTTTTTTTTTGTGATAGTAATTTTTTCTCTTCAACTCGTTACTTATTACTTATTGTTTATACTAATATGTGGTATACGGTGTTGAATGTACATATATTATACTCTTTTTTGATAATACTTTTATAAATACCTTTGTACATTTGTTTGTATATCTTAATAAATAAAATAAAAATAAAAAAATAAAAATAAAATATTTCGGATATTATGTTAAAGCCACCATTGAGTTTGGTCTTGCCTTTATTTAACCATTCGAATATATTATATTGTATGTAAATTTAAGTCGCGTGAATTGATATTTCTACAGGATGATTTGCGGTTTCATCATTATAATATTTTGGTATAGTTCTGAAGTCTATTTAAATATATTTTACATTTTCAGCCCGTAAAGAGAAATAAGCACACGTACATGAAAGGTTTTGGCATAATCGTCATGTTTTGCAAAGATTTATTAGATACTGTACGACAGTTCCCGTGTAGGTGATGTGACGGTGTGCTGAAGCGTGGGTCGATGGCGATGGCGGGTTGGGTGAGATGAGATGAATTGAATGTTTAAGAAATAATTAAATGAAATTAGTTTATGCGAATTTTATCGCGTTTTTAAAACTTTATTTCCCACGTTTTAAAGCACCCATGGTCACAGTATGGGGGGGGCTAGATGTTCGACGACTCAATGTCATTTTTAACCACGACTACTTTCAGATTAAAATGATTTTTTTTAAATTTCTGCGTAGATTGGACTGCTACAGATATAGCCTATTAAGCTTCACTGTTGAACATAGACCGCCCCCATAGATTGCCTCATAGGGGGATTTTTTCCATAGTTGCCACGAGTGGCTGGCGAGTTAGCAACAGCAATTTTTGATTATTTTGAATTTAATGCTGCTGTCTATCTCCTGTTTCAGTTTCCCTCTGTCGTCTCTAACGACACTCGCAGAACGAAATGGGGTAGCGGATATTCCCACACCGCCACTACACAGTAATTTAATTTTAGTAGTTTCATTTATATGTGTAGTATTTGCGTAACCACAAGAAATCATCAAGTGAGAGAAGGGCAGAAGGAGTGAGTGCGGATGATACATGATATATTATGACATAATATGATACGATAAGTTGTGTACCGGCGTGCTGCGGCTTCTTGTTGTAGAGTGCGGTGCGCACGAGGCGGCGCAGGCGCGCGTCGTCAGCACCGCCACGCAGCGCCGCCGCCAGCGACACCTCGGCCGCGCCCAGCAGGCACACCTGCACGCACACACAACACGTCACGTCACCGCACACACGCACACACCCACACTACGTCGCATCACCGCACACGCACACGTACGCAGCGCCGCCGCCAGCGACACCTCGGCCGCGCCCAGCAGGCACACCTGCACGCACACACAACACGTCACGTCACCGCACACACGCACACACCCACACTACGTCGCATCACCGCACACGCACACGTACGCAGCGCCGCCGCCAGCGACACCTCGGCCGCGCCCAGCAGGCACACCTGCACGCACACACAACACGTCACGTCACCGCACACACGCACACACCCACACTACGTCGCATCACCGCACACGCACACGTACGCAGCGCCGCCGCCAGCGACACCTCGGCCGCGCCCAGCAGGCACACCTGCACGCACACACAACACGTCACGTCACCGCACACACGCACACACCCACACTACGTCGCATCACCGCACACGCACACGTACGCAGCGCCGCCGCCAGCGACACCTCGGCCGCGCCCAGCAGGCACACCTGCACGCACACACAACACGTCACGTCACCGCACACACGCACACACCCACACTACGTCGCATCACCGCACACGCACACGTACGCAGCGCCGCCGCCAGCGACACCTCGGCCGCGCCCAGCAGGCACACCTGCACGCACACACAACACGTCACGTCACCGCACACACGCACACACCCACACTACGTCGCATCACCGCACACGCACACGTACGCAGCGCCGCCGCCAGCGACACCTCGGCCGCGCCCAGCAGGCACACCTGCACGCACACACAACACGTCACGTCACCGCACACACGCACACACCCACACTACGTCGCATCACCGCACACGCACACGTACGCAGCGCCGCCGCCAGCGACACCTCGGCCGCGCCCAGCAGGCACACCTGCACGCACACACAACACGTCACGTCACCGCACACACGCACACACCCACACTACGTCGCATCACCGCACACGCACACGTACGCAGCGCCGCCGCCAGCGACACCTCGGCCGCGCCCAGCAGGCACACCTGCACGCACACACAACACGTCACGTCACCGCACACACGCACACACCCACACTACGTCGCATCACCGCACACGCACACGTACGCAGCGCCGCCGCCAGCGACACCTCGGCCGCGCCCAGCAGGCACACCTGCACGCACACACAACACGTCACGTCACCGCACACACGCACACACCCACACTACGTCGCATCACCGCACACGCACACGTACGCAGCGCCGCCGCCAGCGACACCTCGGCCGCGCCCAGCAGGCACACCTGCACGCACACACAACACGTCACGTCACCGCACACACGCACACACCCACACTACGTCGCATCACCGCACACGCACACGTACGCAGCGCCGCCGCCAGCGACACCTCGGCCGCGCCCAGCAGGCACACCTGCACGCACACACAACACGTCACGTCACCGCACACGCACACGTACGCAGCGCCGCCGCCAGCGACACCTCGGCCGCGCCCAGCAGGCACACCTGCACGCACACACAACACGTCACGTCACCGCACACGCACACGTACGCAGCGCCGCCGCCAGCGACACCTCGGCCGCGCCCAGCAGGCACACCTGCACGCACACACAACACGTCACGTCACCGCACACACGCACACACCCACACTACGTCGCATCACCGCACACGCACACGTACGCAGCGCCGCCGCCAGCGACACCTCGGCCGCGCCCAGCAGGCACACCTGCACGCACACACAACACGTCACGTCACCGCACACACGCACACACCCACACTACGTCGCATCACCGCACACGCACACGTACGCAGCGCCGCCGCCAGCGACACCTCGGCCGCGCCCAGCAGGCACACCTGCACGCACACACAACACGTCACGTCACCGCACACACGCACACACCCACACTACGTCGCATCACCGCACACGCACACGTACGCAGCGCCGCCGCCAGCGACACCTCGGCCGCGCCCAGCAGGCACACCTGCACGCACACACAACACGTCACGTCACCGCACACACGCACACACCCACACTACGTCGCATCACCGCACACGCACACGTACGCAGCGCCGCCGCCAGCGACACCTCGGCCGCGCCCAGCAGGCACACCTGCACGCACACACAACACGTCACGTCACCGCACACGCACACGTACGCAGCGCCGCCGCCAGCGACACCTCGGCCGCGCCCAGCAGGCACACCTGCACGCACACACAACACGTCACGTCACCGCACACGCACACGTACGCAGCGCCGCCGCCAGCGACACCTCGGCCGCGCCCAGCAGGCACACCTGCACGCACACACAACACGTCACGTCACCGCACACGCACACGTACGCAGCGCCGCCGCCAGCGACACCTCGGCCGCGCCCAGCAGGCACACCTGCACGCACACACAACACGTCACGTCACCGCACACACGCACACACCCACACTACGTCGCATCACCGCACACGCACACGTACGCAGCGCCGCCGCCAGCGACACCTCGGCCGCGCCCAGCAGGCACACCTGCACGCACACACAACACGTCACGTCACCGCACACGCACACGTACGCAGCGCCGCCGCCAGCGACACCTCGGCCGCGCCCAGCAGGCACACCTGCACGCACACACAACACGTCACGTCACCGCACACGCACACGTACGCAGCGCCGCCGCCAGCGACACCTCGGCCGCGCCCAGCAGGCACACCTGCACGCACACACAACACGTCACGTCACCGCACACACGCACACACCCACACTACGTCGCATCACCGCACACGCACACGTACGCAGCGCCGCCGCCAGCGACACCTCGGCCGCGCCCAGCAGGCACACCTGCACGCACACACAACACGTCACGTCACCGCACACACGCACACACCCACACTACGTCGCATCACCGCACACGCACACGTACGCAGCGCCGCCGCCAGCGACACCTCGGCCGCGCCCAGCAGGCACACCTGCACGCACACACAACACGTCACGTCACCGCACACACGCACACACCCACACTACGTCGCATCACCGCACACGCACACGTACGCAGCGCCGCCGCCAGCGACACCTCGGCCGCGCCCAGCAGGCACACCTGCACGCACACACAACACGTCACGTCACCGCACACACGCACACACCCACACTACGTCGCATCACCGCACACGCACACGTACGCAGCGCCGCCGCCAGCGACACCTCGGCCGCGCCCAGCAGGCACACCTGCACGCACACACAACACGTCACGTCACCGCACACGCACACGTACGCAGCGCCGCCGCCAGCGACACCTCGGCCGCGCCCAGCAGGCACACCTGCACGCACACACAACACGTCACGTCACCGCACACGCACACGTACGCAGCGCCGCCGCCAGCGACACCTCGGCCGCGCCCAGCAGGCACACCTGCACGCACACACAACACGTCACGTCACCGCACACACGCACACACCCACACTACGTCGCATCACCGCACACGCACACGTACGCAGCGCCGCCGCCAGCGACACCTCGGCCGCGCCCAGCAGGCACACCTGCACGCACACACAACACGTCACGTCACCGCACACACGCACACACCCACACTACGTCGCATCACCGCACACGCACACGTACGCAGCGCCGCCGCCAGCGACACCTCGGCCGCGCCCAGCAGGCACACCTGCACGCACACACAACACGTCACGTCACCGCACACGCACACGTACGCAGCGCCGCCGCCAGCGACACCTCGGCCGCGCCCAGCAGGCACACCTGCACGCACACACAACACGTCACGTCACCGCACACGCACACGTACGCAGCGCCGCCGCCAGCGACACCTCGGCCGCGCCCAGCAGGCACACCTGCACGCACACACAACACGTCACGTCACCGCACACACGCACACACCCACACTACGTCGCATCACCGCACACGCACACGTACGCAGCGCCGCCGCCAGCGACACCTCGGCCGCGCCCAGCAGGCACACCTGCACGCACACACAACACGTCACGTCACCGCACACACGCACACACCCACACTACGTCGCATCACCGCACACGCACACGTACGCAGCGCCGCCGCCAGCGACACCTCGGCCGCGCCCAGCAGGCACACCTGCACGCACACACAACACGTCACGTCACCGCACACGCACACGTACGCAGCGCCGCCGCCAGCGACACCTCGGCCGCGCCCAGCAGGCACACCTGCACGCACACACAACACGTCACGTCACCGCACACGCACACGTACGCAGCGCCGCCGCCAGCGACACCTCGGCCGCGCCCAGCAGGCACACCTGCACGCACACACAACACGTCACGTCACCGCACACGCACACGTACGCAGCGCCGCCGCCAGCGACACCTCGGCCGCGCCCAGCAGGCACACCTGCACGCACACACAACACGTCACGTCACCGCACACGCACACGTACGCAGCGCCGCCGCCAGCGACACCTCGGCCGCGCCCAGCAGGCACACCTGCACGCACACACAACACGTCACGTCACCGCACACGCACACGTACGCAGCGCCGCCGCCAGCGACACCTCGGCCGCGCCCAGCAGGCACACCTGCACGCACACACAACACGTCACGTCACCGCACACACGCACACACCCACACTACGTCGCATCACCGCACACGCACACGTACGCAGCGCCGCCGCCAGCGACACCTCGGCCGCGCCCAGCAGGCACACCTGCACGCACACACAACACGTCACGTCACCGCACACACGCACACACCCACACTACGTCGCATCACCGCACACGCACACGTACGCAGCGCCGCCGCCAGCGACACCTCGGCCGCGCCCAGCAGGCACACCTGCACGCACACACAACACGTCACGTCACCGCACACGCACACGTACGCAGCGCCGCCGCCAGCGACACCTCGGCCGCGCCCAGCAGGCACACCTGCACGCACACACAACACGTCACGTCACCGCACACGCACACGTACGCAGCGCCGCCGCCAGCGACACCTCGGCCGCGCCCAGCAGGCACACCTGCACGCACACACAA